CAGCCGCAGTGAGCGGCCGTCCAGAAGCCGGTGACTGATCTGCCTCGCCCAAGAAGAGTGCAATGATGGTGCCAACTTGGGCCAATGAAGCAACGTCCTCCACAACTAGACTGAAGAACAAAACGACAGCAACTTGTCTGTTCCCCTTCCCCCGATTCCCCAGTGCTGTTCCCCTTCCCCCAATTCCCCAGCACTGTTCCCATTCCCCCAATTTCCCAATTAAAAAAAAACAAAAACAAAAAAACATAAAAAAAAAAACAAAAAACTTCTGCCCTGACATAGTCACAGATGGCATCAGTAATGGAAAACCATTCTTCTTCATCAGCGCTTCATGCAACCTAGGCCACTGTGGTGACAGACACCCAGCCTGGAGCGCATACCAATAACCTGCTTGTCAAAGGGTGGGATCCTAACAGTCAGAAGATTCACCATCAAATCATCTGCCGGAAACTCAGCTCCAAATTTTGAAGAGACAAAGTAACTGAACAGCACAAATAATGATGTTCTTCAATGCATTCACATTTTTTTTAGAGAATCACATGAAATATGACCCAGAAGCAAGCATGTCAGTCATCCTCCAAAATGCTGTGACACCACAAACGGACTAAAGCAACAGAATTTAAAATAACAGAATACTGTTATATTTTCTAACCTTCCTGATATAGTTTGGTTTTTCCTGCCGTCCCTCATTGTAATACTTTATCTCTTCTAAAAAAAAAAAAAAATGCATTTGGAATTACCATTACATTTTAAAACAGGGACCGTCTTACGTACCTGAGCATCCCGCAGGATATCCTCACTGCTCTGGTTTTTCCTCAGGGCCCCAAAGGAGGGTGGGGCAGCAGACTGGTCGACTGTGTCAAACATTGAGAAGGGACGGACTTTCTTCTCCTTCTCCCTCAGCGGAACCTCCCCATCATCAGCTGAAAAAGACAGGAAAATAAACTAAATCACAATGAAAGTCAAACTGTTGGAAATAAAATGTCTTATTCATGCAGATGTTTCTCTCTCCTCCACCATCTCTTTGAAACCCTGTACCCATGGAAGTTTTATTATTTTTAAATTGATTAAAGAATAACCCAAACACTGCAATGCTGGTACTACCTTAACTCCCTGGCTAAATGATGGTGTTCTGGAAATAAATACTGTCCCTAGTTTAAACGCACTACAAAATAAACTGTCTAAAAAAGAACACATGGCACCTTTTGGATGGCCAAAATAGAAAGTTCCGGAGTGGCACAAGTGAACCTCACCTTGGTCTGGCGCATTCCCAGAGCTTTTCAGTACAGAAGCGGAGGAATGGCTCGGGAAGAAATCTGCATTTGGACTCCAATCAGGGCCAAGTGAGTGGATTTTAGAGCCTAGAATGCAGAAAAACACCTACAAATAACCCAGCATTCTAAAGAGATTTTTGATGGTTTGTTTTGCTGCTAAGAAGTTTAATCTCCAAAAATGGCTTTAAATTTCAAACTCACAATAATCCCAATAAGCTTATTTAGAAAATATCAGACTTTTTCATTCTAACTGAAGATTTTCCCCTGACTCAAACAATTTAAAATTAATCGTGGTAAACAGAAAGTGCTTGAACCAGCAAGGACATGTTACTCTTCACACCCAGAAAATGATTTCCAACTTAGCAAGACCAAGGGCTAGAAGGTGTGTCTTACATGATGACACCACAAGGACGCATGCACCACAAAAAGGCAAAAAAGCAGATTTTAACCCATGACTTGGACCACAGTGTCACAAATCAGTGTACTCAGGTTTTTTTCTACACTGACATTTAAGTTTCAAAACCACAGCTTTTATTGTTCCTTATAGAACAAAACAAAAGTAACTCTTTCTACAGTAAGACCCAGATCAGGTGGCACTACTGCTTCACAGTAGTCATTTATGGCAAAATAATACATAATTTTAAAGCTAGCAATTTTTTGGCACATGACAGTGGTTAGGGAAAAGAGGCAATACTGGCTATTCTTTTTTCCTTCCAGAGGTCGGAATGATAAGGTCATTAAAGAATGTTTTTACTCTGATTTTCCTATGGTTCTCCCCTCAATTCCGCCTCCTATTACAAAACTCTGGCTCATACCTCCCCACGTATCTGAGGATTACACAGAATGCAAGACCACACACAGGCGCCTCTGTGATTCTTTATTTCCCAACAAAATTTACTCTAAAAATTATCAGCAGCCGACTTCTCACACATGAGCACATATGAACAGTAAATACCATTTATCAACAGGGTGGATTCACCACCTCACGCTCTGCGAAGGTGACACCACTAACCACATACTTGGTGTTTTTACACCAAAAGAAAAGTTCTCAAGTTACTAACATCCGATCCAAATTTCCTTATTCACAAGAGGGAATTCAAAACAATTTTCAGATTTGAAAAAATATTATACTCTATTTCATTTCCTGAATAGAACTGTATCATTTAGGATTAAGAAACTTATCATTGCACTAGTGAAGACTACAAGGAGATTCTCAGATTTATAATAAATACGAACAGGGGCTAGGAAGCCTTTCTTTCAAAACTCAACCTTGGAGAAAAACAAGAGTGAGGACGGGCAGAATTAAGCTGTGAAGACTCGAAAGTGACTTGTTTTTACCTTTAGTTTGGGAAGCGGCCCCAGATCTCATGTTAGGCAGTGTGTGTACTTTCATGGGCACCTCTGCAGGCTGCATGGCCAAGGGACCATCTGGCAGGGCTGGTTTCACCAGGAGGTCAGGCCTGGAGGGCATCCGCGGCATGGTGGACGACTGGATGTAGGGACCGACGGCAGCCACGCGGCTTGGTGCAGACACCCCTTGCTGAGGCAGGTGTCCATCAGGTGAAACCTTAGGAGAAAGCACAGGACCTTTAGTATTGCAAGTCAATTACAAGTCAGGTTGGACCACACTCAGAAAAGGCCATGAAGTTTTCAGAATGTATAAAAACCAGCTCTTACAGGATCTAGCCCTACAGTCTACAAGAAGCATCCCCAAACAAAACCACTGGACAAGGAGCTCTCACCCATACTTTATTAGGAGCAGAGCCACACAGGTAACAACATTAACAAGAAAAAGAGCAGTGGGCTGTCTTCCGAGGAGCCGTAAGCCCAGTCTCTCTCTGCTGAGCGTGCGCTGAACGATGACCCTGCAGGAGCTGCAATGGCAGCTGACCTCACTGGGCTGGTCATCTCTTCCCCTCCCGCTGGCCCACACGGGACAGCCCACTTACTGGAAGGTTTTCTTTCTGCTGTAGCGCCGCCTTCTTCTTCCACAGCCGGTCCCTCAGCTCATTCACACGCTTGTCCATGACTGCCACCTCTGAATTGCGCCTATTCAAACACTCCCTCTGTTGTTGCAGCTTGGCATTCTGCTCTTGATTCAATTTGTTCCTTAGCTGAATAAAATAGGGGGGCGGGGGGGGGGGGGGGGAGAGGAAGGTAGCCAAGGAGTAGGAAGAAAAATTTCTCAAACAGATCATCTCAAACAGATAATCACACGGTTAACTATTATATGATTTCTAAAAGCATAGGGCCCTTCCACCCCTCCACACTGCTCATCTCATGGTTTAAATTTAAGTGTTAGACCACTGTCTGTGGTTATGAGGAATGCCTCAGATTTCCTGTCTGAGGTACTATCAAGTTTATTCTGGATTCTCTGGGGTTTAGGTCTTCCTCCCCTCTGCCCCACTTTAAGGAGAAGAGACCGAAATCCAGCACTTCCTGTGGACAACTCTTCCTGGAGAGGGGGGGTCAACTGTGATCACAAGCAGCCCACGGGTTACCTGCAATTCCTTGTAGAGGCGATCCAGCTCGGCTACCGCAGACTGGTTGTCATGGTGACCGTCGATCCTGCCGTTCTTGAGCATCTCCAGCTGTCTCGTAAGTTCCTCTACTTTTGACACAGCCAGAACGAGCTCCCTCTGTTTTTGCTGGAACAAATTATTCATCTGTTCAATTTCCTCCACTAGAATGAAAAGAAGAGCAACAGTAGTTGAAAAGAAAAACAAGAATGGACCACTTCCCAGGCAACCAGGTTTTACAATAAACTTTTTAATAAAAAGAGAAATTTTCCAGAAATGTCCTAGAGCCAACCTATTTCTCTCTTTTTTTTTTTTAAAGATTTTTATTTGGGAATTGGGGGATGGGAACAGCGCTGGGGAATTGGGGGAAGGGGAACAGACAAGTTGCTGTCGTTTTGTTCTTCAGTCTAGTTGTGGAGGACGTTGCTTCACTGGCCCAAGTTGGCACCATCATTGCGCTCTTCCTGGGCGAGGCAGATCAGTCGCCAGCTTCTGGATGGCCGCTCACGGCAGCTGCTGGCCACACACGGTAGCCCATGGCAACCCACTGCAGCAGGGGTATCAGCCTACGCTGTAGCCAGCAACTCATAGCAGCCCAGCTCCAGGTCGAGCTGTTGTCAGCATCTTAGCTGTAGAGGGCAGTGTCACTGGTCCTCATATGTGGAATCCAAACCGGGGCCCTCTGGCGTCCCAAGCCAGCTCTTAACCATCGCGCCACTCGGCCGGCCCCAACCTATTTCTTTTATGAGCAACTGAAATCACCAGAAACATCTCTAAATACCTGTGCCTCATTCTGGATGTATCCTTAGCATAATTTGTATTAAGAACATTATTAAATATTAAACTCCATTAATTTCTTTGGAATTTTTAATCTCAATTTTATAGTATTAGATGGAACTATTAAGCCACTACAATTGTAATATAAATGGTCTTGTAACAGATGGAGCTATTGTATGAATAAAACTCCTTGCCTTCATCTAATTTTCAGTCAAAAAATATTTAGAGAGGAAAAAAACAAATGACTAGTACACATTCCACAAGTAACTTAGGAAGCTTGAACCATTCAACAGCTGAATTCAATTCAGGGGAACCAACTGCATCGAAACTACAGTGAATTATTCTTTTCAAAAAATCATTTTACAGTTATCTGCATACAAAGTCTCATCTTCTGCTTCTCACTTGCTAAAAATGGATCTAAACTTCCCACGCCGATGTGTTTACACCCAGTTTAACGCGCAGCCTTTAGTGCTGGTGTAAATGGACGGAGAACAACTCACCAAGTTTCCCGTTGCTGAGCCTCTTCTGCTCCACGTGGCCTTTAAGTGCTCTCACTTTTTTCAGCTTAGCCTCCTGGTTCTCAGCTATTTCTTTTAGCCTCTTAAGCTTCTCCTGCTCCACAACTTGTTGCTGTTGACGCTGGTCTTGCTGCTTTAGAAACTTCAGGCGCTGCTCCTACAGATAAAAGCCATCATCAGACATATCATTTATGCAGGGATACCAATAACCCCAAAATAATCTAACCACAACCTGAGATGCCGACACCGAGGTCCATATGTCACACTGTCCTGGTCTCACCATCTGTCCTGTACACGGCCATCAGAAACACCTTGGCAGTTCATTTAAAACACACTCCCGGCCTCAACCCCAGAATCTCCTGGGAGTAAGATCCAGGAACCAGTATTTTTAACCCAAGTGGTTCTTATGCAGCAAGCAAGCCGTGAACCTTGAACTAGTTTTCATGAACTGTGTGGATACAATTTTAAGGAGCTCATGGAGAGACGGGAGGCAGTCTAAGCAAGTTGTTAAATGATAAGCTTTAGAGTCGAATTTGAATTCGAACCCAAGCACTGCCACTTATTAGCTATGAGACTGGGCAAATTACATAACCTCAACGAGTATACAAGTCTGTTTCTTCATCTATAAAGTGGGTGATCAAAAATAATAACGACCTCACAGGGCTGCAAGTGAGGATTAAATGAAATGTGAAATGTACATCTTTTTGTACCTTACATAGTTAGTATATACTCAATAAATACACTTAGAAAAAAGGCAAAGAACTACTTAACGCCTTTAGAAAACTCAATTATGCAACTTAGAATTTTATTTCTATTACAGTAAACATTTTAACTAAAACTAAGTAATAGACCCCTCAAAATTTATAATAAAGGATAAACTCAGATAATATACCTAAAACATA